ACATATACTTTAATTATATATATATAAATAATACAGCCCAAGGTTACACCATTATGATTTTAATACCAACAGGATTTAAACTCTGTACTACCTCTATATTTCCATGATACCTGCTCAAAATCAGTCTTTTCTGGATGAGGCCAACTTCATGGAGAATTACAAGCGCCCATGACAGTCCAGAGAGTACTGCCCCAGGGTTAACTACCGTAAATATTAACTACGTAATGATTTTTTCTGTATGGTGAGAAGGGCTGCCAGTTTAATGGCCATAACAACTTGTTACAGACTATGTACCAGGTTCTGTACAGATATTTAATCCTGTTTTCTCAACAGCTCTATCTTGTTAGGTCTCAGTAACTTTTTTTAAACTCCGGAATACACAACAGGACTTGGAAAAACTATTAATATTAGTTATCATTTATTGAAAACTACAAACTATCTAGGTGGGTGCTAATACCAATTCCATCTTCAGTGAGGAAAATGAAACACAGAGTGGACATGACTTGCCAGAGTTCTATGGGCTCCTAAATTTGAACGCAAAGCAATGACTTGTTGGTAAATATACCATACAAGATTCAGGGTTCCTCCTTCACAGAAAGACAAAGCTAAGAGTAGCTAAGCACGCAAGGTTGCCCATGAGGCTAGCTCCAAGTCGAATCACGACTGAGCTTTTCTTTATTAAGGAGCAGAGTTTTAGGTATGGTAGGTACTAAAAGTGCCATGAAACACTGTCTAGGAAACAAGCCAATTATTCCATTTACAGGGGAGGAACCCGAGAGAGAGGTGAGTAAACTCATCCAGGGTCACAAAGCAAGCGAATAGAAATCGAACTCCAGTTTGAGTGAATCCTGAGGCCCAGTGTCTTTCCTCGGCATCAACAACCACAACAAAGCCTTTTCGTTTCGGTATTAGTTCACTCATTCAGGGTTATCGCCTCAAAGAACAAAAGAGGTGCAAAGACCCCTGGGCATCGAAAGCCGTCCCATAGAACCTGCCCCTCCGACTGACCAAGCTGACTCGGCTCCAGAACCACCTCCCTCCCAGTCCCCGGCCCCACCCAGAGAACAGAAGACCCTCGTTCCCATTCGCTACCCGCAGGCCGTAGACCTTTATCCATTCGAGGCCCCGCGCTCGGGGTCCGGGCTGCAACTCCCACCGCCTCAGCCCAGTATCCCCGAGTTCTGCCAGACCCGGGGCATCAGCCAAAGACCCACCGCCATCTTGCCCCGGGGTGTTCTCTCTCCAAACTCCTCCAGGAAGCAAGTATCCGGTTGCTGGAAACAAGAGTTCCGCAGAGCTTATTTGACAGGGAAGAAAAACCTCCTTACGCCTGTCTTCTTCCTTGGCAGATGACAAACCTGAACATTCAGGAGTTAAATAAATGCCTGACTCAGCCGAGAGGAGATGGAACCCATCCCGGCAGGGGAGGATACAAAGAAAGCGGTAATAGCTGAGACCACATCGGACACTTTAGGATGGTGTCCCCTGAGAGGCGGAAGTGGGATGACATCAGCGGAAGTTTCCACCCCAGTCCCGCCTCCGCCCCCGGCTCGTATAAGCTGGGTGTTTCCTGCCGCTTTCAGTCCGGATTTGGAGACTCCGACGTCCTCCGACTTTTCATGGTAAGGAGGACGGTGTCCTCGATTTGGGGGCTCTCAGCGGCGGAGGAGGCCGGGCAGCGACAGAGTGGAGAGAGGACCGAAGGGAGGTGGTGGTATAAGAATCGGTCGCGGTAGTTGGAGAGGCAGTTTGGGGGATTGGATGAGGGGCGGGAAGGGGGAGGGGCAAGGGGGAGAATTGGAGGGTCTCTGGCTATCGAGGTTCTGGGCAAGTGCTTTGGGTTTGAGGAGTAGATGTGTATGTGGGTGAGTGGAGAGTCTCTTCAATCGTGAATGCTTGCTGGAAATCAGAGTGAAGATTGTGAGAACAAAGACATGTCATTGAAAACACACATTTGGGGTGGAAAATGAAGATTTGGGGGATTGTTAAAGGAAGATAGTAGGTTATGAGATAGTAAAGTGGGAATTCTTGGAGGGAGCGTTTGGTATCTTGGAGGGTGTAGCAAGGGTCCCTGAGTTGTGGGGAAGGGGCTGTCAGGTTCCTCTGAACACATGGGTAAGAGGGAACTGGCAGGCCAATGTGTGTTCAGTGCTTGGAATTCTGGGGAGGAATGAATGCCAGGGGTCTGAGTTCAGGGTAACTTTGCCACGCAGTCCACCGCCAACCGGTGTCTAGGTACATATCTAGTCACTTCCGTTCAGGCCTCAGGTGGCCACACCTCAGGAATGGAGGTTGTCTCATATTGCTGTCTCAGCTGTGAGAAAGTCTGTTTACTTGGATCCTCAAGGGTCTGTTCCTTGAATAGCTCTTTGTCCCTTGGTGGGGATGACCAAAGGTTAGTCCAGATCATTTTTCCTTGTTTATAGCCTGGGCCAGAATGCTAACCGTGGTAGGGGAGCATTGGAGTTACCACTAGCTGTTTTATAAGGAAGTCCTCGATCCAAAGTAATGTTACATTTGTGTGACTGACTCAGTTTTTTTGATTGAAATGGAATAGCAGGCTTTTGAGTTATGGGCACGCCCACAATTTGGGAAGTGTTTTGCTTAGTTTCAATGCAGTGTTTTTTAAACTTCCTTGCTGTAAGAGTTCCCAACGTCATGTTTTTCTGCAACATGTTCTTATGATTCTTAGATCAAGTTGATTAAAGCAGCACTTAGTCCAGTGGTACTGAGCCCTGGAAGCACATCTGAGTCACCTGAAGTGATTTTTTTTTTTTTTTTTGTCTGTTTTGAGACAGGGTCTCGCTCAGCAGTTCAGGCTGGCCTTGAGCTCACTTTGTAGCCCGGGCTGATCTTGAACTCGCAACAATCCTCCTGCCTCAGCCTCCCAAGTGTTGGGATTACAGGCATGTGCCACCATACCTGGTTGCTTTTAACCCCATTTTTTTTTTTTTTTTGGTTCATGTGTTTGTTTTGTCTTTTTGAGTCAGAGTCTCACTATGCAGTTCAGGCTGACCTTGAGCTCACTTTGTAGCCCAGGTTGGTCTTGAACTCACAATGATCCTCCTGCCTCAGCCTCCTGAGTGCTGGGATTACAGGCATGCGCCACCACGCCCAATGATGAAACTTCTTTTTTTGGTACCGAGAATCCAACTGAGGACCTTGCACTTGCCAGGCAGGCTGAAGTGATTTTTAAATACTAGTTACTGAGCTGTCATCTTCCTACAGAATTCTGATTAATTGATCTGAGATACAGTCCAAGTGATTCTAGTGGGTAGGATAGAAAGGAAATCAATGACGAGGTGCCAAGTGCTTTAACATTCATTCCTTGAGCAGTTTTTGAAGATTATAGTTTCAACACTCCATTTTACAAATCAGGAAGCTGAATTTTGGGTGAAGTCACTCTTCTGAACATCAAGACATGGTGGGATTGGGATTGTGGTCTAGGTCTGCCAGGCCCAGTCTAGTTTCCCTCCACATGCACACACATGCATACATGAGGCAGTTCTCTGGGGATTTTTCTTTACTGCACTTAATCTGGATCTCTGTTCAAGTCAAGACTTTTTCCTTTCAGCTCTTTTTGTTTTTGAAGCATGCATACAGTTGCCTCCAGCCTATGACTCTGAAGCCATGAAGTGGAGAGTTGCTTTTATTTATGGTTTGTTTGTATGAGTGGGTCAGGAATTCACTGGGCCAACAAAGCAAGAGGTAGGAGAGCTTCTCTAAGACCATGGAGTTAATTATAGCCTAATTGAGGAGTACAAGACTTTTAAGGACAGTGGTTTGCAGTCTTGGCTATGTATTAGAGTTGCCTGGAAGCATTGAATTTTTTTTTTTTGTTTTGTTTTGAGACAGAGTCTTACTGTGTAGCTCAGGCTGACCTCAAAATCACAGTCCTCTGGGTTCAGGCTCCTGAGTGCTGAAATTACAGGTGTGGGGGGAGTTTTAAATTCTTCTTCTACGCTACACCCTTAGACCAATGATAACAGAATTTCTGTGACTATGACCCTGACATTAATATTTTTTAAGCTCCCTTAGTGAGTCCAGTGTGTGACCAGGTAGAGAGTCATTATTTAGCATCAGTGACTGTATATTCAGGGCAAATGGGAAGGAAGGTTCATGGACTTACCTTACTAACTCATATTTCTGATTGAATAGAATCCAAAACCAGTATCTCAGGTATTACTTCTCTGATTCTTGTAAATAATTTTGCTCTCTCCTGCTCCACCTCCCCAACCTTATTAATAAGGTAACCAAACCTCTGAAAGGAATAAAACAGCAGGATCCCTGTAGGAATGGCAAGGAGAGGCCTCGGTAGAGAGGCTTGCTGTGAGAAGTTTATTACCCACTGCTTTGTGTCTTCAGTTCACTATAACCAGGGCCTGAGCACATGAACACAGCCCGAAGCTGCTCTCCAAGGCCTTTCTGGGTATTGGGTTGACTGGCTTTGAGAGGGATGCGCTATGGGAAGGTTTAGTGCTTTCATTGCCTGACCTGGAGTCTCAGGCTTCTGTCTGTGCAGTTCAAGTTGTCATTAGAGCTGGAAACAGTCTCTAAGAGGAGATAATTTGAGACTGTGAGAACATTCCCGAATGATCACAATTTGAATGTTTCATGTTTGAGCCAGTTGATGCTGAGTGCTTTCTGTGGCCTCCATCCTAACCGGGGGTTGCGGGTGGCTGTTGCCCTCATTTGAATGGTGGAAATAGATTCCTATGTGGCAGGGTTTGGGCCTTAAACACCCATCTGACTCTCAGTCCCGAATCCTTCAACATACACTGCTTCCCAGCTTTTTAAAGTTTTGTTTTTTTGGAAGAGAGGAGGAGAGGGCTCTGCTGTCTCTATTTATGTATCATATTTCTAAATACACCAGGCCTCAGGGGCTCCAGGCCAGCCAGGACTTGCCCATGGTTTTTCCGCTTGCTTGCCTCTGACTCACCTTTGAGAAGTGTCTGATCCTCTCTGAGCCGTGGACTCCAAATCCATGAAATGAGAATAATGATAGCTGCCTTCCAGCACTGTTCAGATTTCAGAAAGTCATATGTGGTGGTAGAAGTTAATGATGAAGGGGCATGGAGGGGCCTTCTGGAGCCATGGAAGTATTCTGTATCTTGATTGGGGTAGACACACAGATACACGAATAGTTCAAAATTCATCTACTGTACACTTGACATATACTTTATTATATGCAAATTATCTTTACAGAGGCATTGGAAACCCCAGAAAAATACATGTACTTTATGTCCTTTTTTTCTCTCTTTTATGGTAGGTGCCTCAGAAGATGGCAAGACTATTTCTCATAGACAGGTTATTGTGTAAATTTACTTCTGAAAAGGATGCTAGAAAAGCATTTCCAGTTGGGGGCAAATTTCTTTAAACCCTCGCCCCGCATTCCTCACCGTTTTCCCTTCAGGCGTTCAAAGTTTTGGGAAGCTGTTTATTCCTGTAAGTTACCACTGTCATCCTGTGAACAGTTTTTGTGCAGGATATGGTGGGCTGTAACTGTTATGGTAAGGGTCTCCAGAGTCTGATTTCAAAGGAAAAGTGGAAAGAAGGAGTCACCACTTCCTCTTTGCCTCTTTGCTTTTATGACTGGCAGCAGGCCACAGAGTCCCCCAGTGAGCTCAGCCTGAGCTTTTGAAAACTTACTTCTTGTGATGTTTTCATCTGACTGGCCGTCAGGGCTGCTTTTCTTTTTCTCTGTGTTGTGCGCTAGGTTCCGGAAAGATATAGTCCATTTTTGGACATCTTCAGCTACAGAATTTAAAGAATCATTCATTGAAGAAACAATTTCTTGTCAGGCCTGGTGGCGTACATGTGAATTCCAGCACTCTGGGAGGCTGAGGCAGGAGGATCAGGTGTCAGTCCAGCCTGGACAGCTTAGTGATTTAGTAAGATCTTGTCTTAAAATGAAACAAAAGACCAGGGTATAGCTTAGTGTGAAGGTCCTGGTTTTAATACCTAGTGTTACACACACAACACACACACACACATACACACACACACACACACACACACACACACAATTCATACACATGCATACACACAGTGTCCTGGAGTACATCTGTGCCAGGTGCTAGTCTGCTTTCCCAGGCCTGCTTACCTCAGAAATTCATGTGCCCATTTTTTTTCAGCTAGCACTTTTATCTGTTTAGTGGTGTCTGTCATAGGAGAGGTAGAAAGACCTGGGCAGTGCTTTGGGCTGCTTTAGGATGCAGACATGCTATTTATATAGGTACTAGGCAGAAAGGAAGTCCTTGTAACACAAAAGTTAGTGGCAGCCAAGTATGGGGATGCACACCTGTAATCCCAGCACTCAGGAGGCTGAGGCAAGAGGATTGCCACAAATTCGAGGCCACCCTTGCCTACATAGTGAGTTCAAGGCCAGCCTGGGCTACATGTTGAGACCTGTTTAAAAAAAAGAAAGTGGCAAACTTCTAACTATAGGTTTAGCAAGTGAGGTCAGAGTATGACACTACTGGGTGTGGTTTGGAGTAAACTGGGGAAGTGTACCACTTTCTAGGGTGCAGTTGGTTTCTGATGTATTTATCTATATTTTTAAGATTTTTATTTTAAAGATAGAAGAGCTGAAACATATTAACAGACACACAGACATAAATAA